AAGGCAAAATTGCTTCTACATTTCACAACTATGGGTTTAGATATGTTTATCAGAACTCACGTATATAAGCTGCTATAAATCATAATCCAACCAAAGAAATTTTTGGTTAAAGCGTAAAGATCTAATGGACTTAGTTTAGCCTTCTACCAATCAAGTAAAGAGTAAAGACACCGTCTACATTTGGTGTAAATACATTTCAAACTCACTGAAAATTTCTTAAAACGTACAGCTATACGCTGTTAATTCAAGAAAAATAAATAAACAGATTAGAATCATACTTCATTATATCTACAGCTAAATTTCTTAAACCTACAGTTGTATGTACTGTTAATTGAAGAAAAAATGCTCCAGTGATTAACTAAATCGCAGTACGAATTTAACACACGTACGGTATGCGCTAAAATTTCTGGGAAACAAATCAAGAATCTGAAGAGAATTTACCGTCGTAGCTACTGCTATCAAACGTCTGGTGAAGGTGTCTACGCATGTCGTAAGCGCGTGAAGACACCTGCTTAACAAACTCGTTGGAACTCCCGGGAATTGTACCGTCCATGTGCAGCGCCCTCTCCATTTCCTCATCTCTCGGATCATTTTCGTCCTTTTTCTCGTCTCCTCCGCCGCTCAATTTACAGTAAATTTCTACTCTTTGCCTTCTTTTACAAGAGTATAAGGGAGAAGAAATACGAAGGTTATTAATTGGATTGATGTATTCAGACGAAAGAGCAATTTGCCGCCGCCGATGGTGATGGCGGCTGTGGAGGGGAGTGGTGGGAGGGAGTACTATAGATGTCGATACTGATGACAAAGAATCCATATGATTCCTTCTTCTTCTATAAGCCTGTAATTTCTTTGTGAATAAATATATACAGGTATTGTAATCAGATGAGTGTGGGGAGATTGAGAGGAATTGTGAATGTGAATCTTCTGTTTATGCTGGAACCTGAAAATCTGCAGATTTTTTTTCTGGAGTTCGGTTAAGGGTGGGTCCGGTCTCATTGGACGGGTTCTGGTGTCGGAGCTCCATATCAAATTGGAATGGGTACCCTTTTTTAGGAGGAAATATATGGAATTGGCCGGTTGACTATATTTTCATTATGCCTTTGACAATTAAAAAAAGGAAAAAATTAAAATTGTGAAGTTAAAGACCAAAAGCCAAATATACCCTCATCTTGTGTAAAGTATTTGTGGGGAAAGGAAAAAGAAAAAAACTTACACAGTCTAACAGTCGGGATCCAGTCGAAGTCGTCACCCTTATAGTTAACCAAACGCCAACCACCACACAACTCAGTCACCGAGGACATTATCTTCAATAAAAATAAATTATTATTATTTTGTGAATTATAAGATTGATTTTTCATATATGGTAAAGATTAAATTTAACGTTTATTTAATTTATTCTTCATTATTTAGGAAGATGTTTGAGTGTAGACGGTAGACCAGATTTAGGTGTTTTTTTTTTTTCTGGTTCATAGGCCCCGACTTTTACAATCGGTCATCTACTGTTATCAGTCATATGCCGACTATTTAACAGTCAATTGGGGTCGACTGTGAATAGTTTAACAGTCGGCCCAAAACTTTTTGTTTTTTTTGCTCATTTTTATTTATTTTGACTGTTTATTAATTCTTTTCTTTTTATGATAATTTATTTTTTTCAATTTTAAATAAATATTTATATTCTTTATCTAATTTTTATAATTTCATTTGGTTTAATTTTTATTATTATTACTGTTGGAAATAGTTTTAAAATTTCTTATTTGTTTTCTTCATTTTATAAATCAATTTAATTTTTTTAAATTCCTTTCATTTTAAGATAAATTTTATTTATTTTTCAATTTTAACTAAATTATATTTATATTCTTTATTTAATTTTTATAATTTTTTTTGTTTAATTTTTTTAAAAACTATTATTATTGATTTGGTAATAATTTTAAAATTTCTTAATTGTTTTCTTCTTATTTTAATATATTTTTTTCAATTTAAAATACATTTTAATATTCTTACTTTCATTTTTATACTTTTATAATTTTCTTTAATTTATTTTTCCTTTTTAATTTTGGTCTTTAATTCTATTTAATTTAATTTAATTTATTATTTTTTCTTAATTTTTTAAAAAAATTCTTATTATTTTCTATTTATCATAATTTATTTTTTTTAATTTAAATTCTTTTTTTTATTCTTTCTTTAATTTTTATATTTTTATTATTTTCTTTTTTATTTTTGTCTGTGATTTTTTTCCTCCTTTAAATTATTAAATTATTTCTTTTTTTATTAGCGTCAATGTAAAATAAATATATTTCTTGCATATAGTAGCCACAATTCGATTAGTTTAATTTTCTGAGATTATACTTTATTCCATTATCTTTTGTAGAAAGTTCTAACATTTGAATTTTTAAAGGATGGGGTATCATCTCGATACTGAGTTGAGATAAATGACAGGAAAATATACTTGGAACAATAGCTTTGACAGTTTTACTACTATATTGAAGTTGTTTGATGACTAGCACATAGATATGCTACCTCAATCGTTCATGTGACCCTTGTATCAATTAAGAGAGATGCAGTACATCGGGTAGGTCATTGATGCATTACTATGTCGATTGCTTAGACTGGTCGACGGCGATACCCTCTACTTTGACCTCCGAGTAAGGTCGCTAGTTTCTCTATATTTAAGTTTGTCCTCAATACTGGACCGGAGATTATGGCCAGATGAAGTGGCGAGCGACAGTACTCAAAGAAGCAATGGGTTGTACACTACATATTTTCAAATATAGGGGACGGTGCTTCTACCGCAGTTGATTTGCGCAATCAGGGAATGTGGCCTGATGATGGACAGATTGAAGTTGGGATTGGTCTATATCCTTGAAAGCATGGTAAGGTGTCATAACAAAAACGATTACGATTGACCTTTTTCATTTAGAAGTTGTTGAGGAGATCGATGTCATTATCATTGAGCATCAATCGCTCCAACTTATGGGTAATGAGTACACGATACCTGAATATATGCTCGAGTGGGTCATAAGGAAAATGCCATGAGCGGGTTGTACGCATATGTACATTCCAGTGATAGCTAATAATCACTGCATTGCCTGAAAATCATTTTTGCCGATTCTACTATATATGTGTACGAATCCAATCATACTTGTTTGAAACGGGGTCAGCACGAACTTATACTGGAGTCGATGGCTGTGATTATTCCTTCGATGGCTAGACAAGTGTGGGTGATTGTGCTAAATAAACTAGCCATCGTGCGTGACACAACGACGACGAGACGGTCGAAATCATAAGTATTTATAATTTTTTTAAAATTTGAAAACTTAGTTTTTAGCTATATATTATCGAATAATACATTATTATTTAATTGCATGGGTGATTGTGGCATATTTACATTCAAATATATTGAATTTTTAAGTATAGCACATAAGGTTGATGAAATTAATCAATCCTAGATACAAAATTGGAGGAAGAAGTTAGCGTGTGATTTGTATGAATTCAATTGTGATACGTAAATATTGTATATTGTTCTATTCGAAAATGTAAATATTGATTAATTAATTTAAAGTCGTTGTATATTGTGTATATTGTTTATTAAAAAAATGTAAATATTCGTTTAATTGTGAACCGGAATATATTGTATATGATTTTAATTGTATGAAAATAAAGTATTAGGACTTAATTGCAACTTTTCAGTAGTTGATTCGGAACATGAAACTGTGATCGAAGATTAACAGCGATAGATTACACATCCTTCTAATTGTTATTTAGGAAAATCTGACTTGTACAAAATTGATGAGCATGCCCTGTTGTTATGCTACTGTCGTACCTACGCGACCGAAGAAACTCACGTAGATGGTATTCTAGGTATGCGTGGACATCCAGGACCACACGGTTCAATTTCGGGTGGCAACAAACTATTAAGTGGGAAAATATCATCAGAAACTTTCCACTCGACTTGATTCGATAGAGGATATTTAGTCTCAGCATATATTGTTCTCCAATAATCAGCCGTATAATAAGGAGAGCATAATGTTCTCACTGCAAAGCCTCTATATATAGCCACAACGACTATTGCTCGCATGGAAAACTTTCTAACTGAAATCGACTACAAGTACAGGTGTTATCAATTAAGTCCACCATGTACGCGATATTACGTGCACATTTTACGAAGAAGTACAGCTAATTCAGTGGTTCCACATTCAACTTTCTAGCAACACCTCTAGCCTTGAAGAGTTTTTCCTCCTGAGCAAGGGCTAGTACGCTCATATAACTCTGTGATTCCGCACGTCAGTCGTGAAACCACTATTGCACTTGTTACGAATGTTCTCAATTATTGCGAGAATTGGTAACTCTCGATCCTCTTTGTTAGGTTTTATATATTGTGTAATTGGCAATTCTGTAAACAAAATGATTGAATTGTACTGTGTTTAAAAAGTCAAAGAATAATGTGTAAATAGTTGAAAATAGAGTTATTAGGTCTAGGGTTCGAGAATGTCAATAAGAGAAAAACGGCGTGGATTTTCGCTATACTGTTGCCAAAATTTGGCTCGAGCTACAAAACATAAACATTGTCGTTGGATTGTCGCCCCTCCTTAGCTCGAGCGACATGCTATCCCTTGACCTTCGTTGAGCTCTCGCTCGAGCGACGTGGTTATCCGAGAAATTTTTATTTCACGATTTAAAAGCTTTTTACCTGGCCCATTCATTTTCTAACCTATCTATATATACCAAAACATATCTGTACGAAAACTACAGAGGTTGAATATTGAGAGAGCTTCATCTGTGAGAGATTCATTATATTTTATCTTTCAACCTTCATCTAATTTGATTGTTTTGGTGAGAAAAACATCATTCCTATAATCCAAGACCAAACTGCATTTCCTCTACATCTAGTCAGAGTTCTGAAAATCGAGAGAATTTGACTGGAGTTCAGTCTATGAAGAACAAGGTGTTCTTCGTTGATCCACGAGGAAACAGACAATTCCATGAGGCTAGGAGTACTGCATGGTAGTGGATTCCATGGAGAGTTTTGGCAACAGCAGCTAAAGATTGGTGTAGGAGAGCACGAGATCCAGGGAGAACTGTAAGGAGTGCTGTCGAGAGATCACATAATACGGCTTGTCTAGTCTGATAAACCATAAGTTGTTTGAATTGTTTATAGTGAATTGTCTGGCAAAGTGCCGAAGTTTTTCCCAATTGGATTTCTCTGTGATCATCATGGTGTTGATTTACTGCTTTTGTTATTGTTTATTGATTAATCATATAAACTGCGGTATTCAAACTTAGGACTAAAATGACTTACATATTTAATCATTTAGAAAAAATTAAAAAGTGACTTGTTGCTATTTAATTCGTAAAATATTTTTAATTCCGCATAATATACATATTCATCCCCTCTAGGTATTGTTAGGGTTGAATTGTGTAACTTTCACTCTTAAATAATGTATTGAGAGACTCCGTATTATTTGACATCATCATGTTGCATTAATGTTCTAAAAATATGACCACGCTCAATGTTCAATCCTCATTTTTGTTAAATTATCTCATTATGGGAATAATTTACTTCCTATTTCAACCATGAATTTATTACGCTTTTCAAAACTATAGGTTTTGTTGCTCTCCTAAACAATGAAACATGGCCTTTGTACCGATACCTAGTATTCAGGTAGCCTTCTATATGGTACATGCAATACCCATGATATGCATCGGGAAAATCTTCAGCGATACCATTTATTACAGATGGTCCCCGATCAGTTACAAAGGCAGGGTCCTCGACTTTCTCAATTACTTCTCCCAACTTTGCGAAGAACTAACGTATTG